TGTGTGTAGGCGCAAAAGAGCACACTGATATGTGAATACTGATCGCCTTTGACACTGGTTGAAGTGTTAACGTTCGAACAGGCATGGCATTGCATGGCCAGGTGGGATAAGACATGGATGCTGCAAGCGTGCAAGTAGCTGCTGAGTCAACAAGCACTAAAAGACCAAGTGAGGAGCCCTGAGTTGCAGTCTGCTCCAAATCCTGAGATGTGTGCCTGTCTCTGCATGCAAAATATACTTGCAGAAGCCTTTCACTGCTAATTACTGGTCAGATTGGAGTGCAAACCTGTGCTTCCAAAAGCATTCAGCAAGTGGGTTGGAGAGGACTGGGACATGATGGCAAATGTCAAATGCCAATGTTTGTGAACAAGGTGTGCTATGGCTCATGCCCTGAGCTGCTGTTTGCTGCTGAGCAACATGGAGGCTCTTCGCAGACAGCAGTGAGATAAAGTTGTCAGTTCTGACTTCCATGTTAAGAGTTCTCCATATCTAGATTATTCAGTGTGTTTCGTAAGGTAGGAAGCTGAGTATTTATTAGGTGAATTGTGCCATTAATAAGACATTTAACAAACTATAATTCACCCTTAATTGGCAACTTGCCAATGTCTAGCAAGAAACTCGGCTCGCCATTTGACAGATGTATAAAAATACAGTGAGTTGTTCCTGAAGCTAAAACAGGCCTTGTGGGCTTTTCATACTATTCTGCAAAACATGATGCCATGGACCAGAGTCATTCATGCCCTTACAATATTCCATACTGTATCTCCGATTATAATTATAGGTTGAGTGTACTGTACCATTTCCAGAAAGATCTGAATATAATTTCATAATTCAAATGATAAAAAAATTCTACCACATCCATTACACTTTCTAATAAAATGTGACTAAAATTTTCAATTTCAATTCCTGGTCATCCTGATTATATATTGAGTATTTTACGGCACAAACCTCTATCCTCCATCTGGTTTTGCAGGACTCCAGAAGACAGCAAGATAAAGTTCAAAGATGTTCTTCTCAATGTATTGTGCATTAGGCTAGATATTTGAGCCAGCAGTATTTAATTTGAATCTCAAAATATAGATAATATTCCCACAACTCTTTGTACTAAATTGTGAATAAGTACAAGGTAAAGGTGGTTCCTTCAAACTAGTAATTTTATCTTCAGTAAAATGGCAATGTTACAAATTAAAGTTTTATGCAACCAGCTTTTCCTCACAACCTGTGCTTTTGTGAAAGCCTAGAATTGTGGCAGTGTTAGGGTTAAAGTTGGCAACAAATGTTCAGTAAATGGACACTAATGTCAACAGTACAGTACACCCATTACAAAATTACTATCTCAAGCCTTTTTTAGTACAGGCAGTAATATATTCAAGACATATGGCAGCCCATTAATCTAATTAAAACTAACAAATTAGGTAGGTATGTGTACCACGCTAATACATCATTCAGACAAAGCATTAATTTCACCCAATGGAACAAGCATTACTAAAGGCACATTTGATTAAATGCCAGAAATGTCATTTAAAAATAAGGTACTTTTTTTTATTTTCATTTGCTCAGCTTTGTCGTACTAGAGCAGTAATCCAGTTCCATTCCAGCCAGCTTCCATCCAGGTAAGAGACCTAACAAGGGAAGGAATAGAATAGAACATAATAGAAATTTATTGTCATGTGTACTTTTACATGAAAAATACGGTGAAAAGTATTATAAGTTGCCCCATTATGGCACCTACTTCAAGGACAGAAGTCATTATGATAATAAGAGACAAAATTCATCACACTTCAGTTGACGGTTCCTGAGCTTGGGGAAAGCTGATTTAGAAACAATAGAATACCCAGATGATGCAGCCGGGATGAGACTGGCATGCTGGGCTGCCGGATACTAGCCAGAAGCCTCCATTGAAGAAGACTGCCATGCCGGGCTGAGACCGCCTGCTGGGCCACTGGAATACCTGGATGCTGAAGATGAAGAAGTCCTCCTCACAGGGATGAGTCCTCCAGGACAAGACCGCCACACAACGGAACAGCCACACCAGGCCAAGGTGTCTGGGCCCAGCTGTGGACCTTAAGTCTAGGCCAGAAGTGTCAGTCCAGGACCTGTTCCTCACATGCTAGAAGGTTACCCAGCAGTTTGTTTAATGCAAAATGTGCCATCAAGATCCACTGATACACTACGTCCGGGGCCTATGCATTAGGTCCAACTGATCATGGTGATGTACTTTATGAGACTGAAGAGTATCATGAGCTTGTTGCCAACTCTCTCAAACCACAATCAGCATTCAATCCACCAATATACCAGAGCAACTACTGGCACACGTGAACTTCACAACTTTCATTTTCCCAATGTGTGCTCTGAATGTCTGCAACCTGTCTCCTACAATTTGGATACACACCATACTTTGTTCTCAATTTGTTGCCGAACTATTGGATCAATCTCCCCGAGAAGCAAACCATATTACTCTTCCTTCTCCATAACATCTCCTACCTATATGCAATGTGGACCATCTTCCTTTCTAGTTTCCATCAGGCCATGGGTTTTAAAGATGTTAAGACATAAAATTAATTTTCATTTCCCAACAAGTTACGCTTTTTGCAAAACATGAATTTAAAATTACAGAATTTTGAAACCCAAAATACTGCCAAAATTCAGATAATATCTGCAACAAAATGAAAATAAAATGTTCACAATAACCAATATCCATATATGAGTCACGTTGATCATATATTTTATTTCATTTAGATTAAAACAATATCCTCTAACTATAAAGAAGATTGAGAGAGCTAGATTAAGTTCAAAAAGTTCCACTGCATTACTTACAGTTAATAAGAATTGTTATGCAACTAAAACCATAAGATATAGGAGCAGAAGTAGCATTCAGCCTATCAAATCTACTTTGCTATTCAACAAAATCATAGCTAATTTCACAATCCTCAATTCCTTATTGGTTTCTTTTCCTGATTATAAATCTGTCTATCTCAGCCTTGTGCATGCTTAACACAGCACCAACTGCCCTCTGAGGTAAAGAGTTCTGCAGAGTGACTACTCTCTGAGAGAAAATAATTTTCATGTCTGTCTTAAACGTGTGACTCCTTATTCTGAGATTATACTGTCTGGTCCCAGACTTTCCCATAAGGGGAAGCAACCTCTTTGCATCTAACTTGTCAAGCCCCCAAAGGATTCTTTGTAACATGCACTTTAAAGTATTGTGCAGTTGCCAAAAAAAATTGTGCCTGTATTCTGATTAAAGCTGGTGGCAGATGTGCAGTAATGGACAGTAATATAAGAACTGTAGCACATCCATTATAAAATTGCTACCTGAAGGATTTTTATACAAACACATAACAGCAGGAGTTGCCACGTGGAGATAGTAACAACTGCATTTGCTGGAGTCAGAGACAAAAGTGTGGAGCTGGAGGAACACAGCAGGCCAGGCAACACTAGAGGAGCAGGAAAAGTGACTTTTCGGGTTGGGACCCTTCTTCAGAAAAAATCACGTGGCCACTTAAAGATGCTCCACGTTCAGTCATTTTGTGGCTTGTCTTCTGGATAAACTCTGACACCTACCTTATCCGTTATTCCTTGAATTTCTTAGCGTCCAAACATTGGTTTAATTCTTGAATGTACCCTATGACTGTGCATTCGTAAGTCTTTGGGAAGTGAATTCCAAACACTCATAACCCTCATGTCAGTCCTAAAGAGCTGAAACAGTATTGTGTAATTATTGTATACAAATGCAAATCAATATCTGTCTCCTTAAAAGATCTCATGAGTTTTCCTTTTAAGGCCATCACTTTTAACACCCTTATTTGAGGAGGACTAACGGATAGAGCTGGATGAACACAGCAGGCCAAGCAGCATCATAGGAGCAAGAAGGCTGACGCTTCGGGCCTAGACCCTTCATCGATCCGCAGCAATTATGCATGTACACTGAAAATATTGGAAATACACAGCATCCTTGGAGAGAAAGAAACAGAGTCAATGCTTCAAGTCATGAATCATGTAAATACCAAGGGCAGAAACAATGCAAATGCACACACAAAAAAAATCTGTCACGACAGCCATAATTATAAAACGTGCCATTCAGATCTTGAAGCTGCATCTACGATATAGATCACCCGGGAACAACCTTACCCAGCAACCCCAACATAAACTATCATCTGCCGCACAGTCCACAACTTCACAGGACAACACTAAGGAATCACAGCTGCTGAGGGATTCACATCAGTAACAGTTATGCAACAAGACACTAATGCGCACGGTCTAATCTTAGCTGCCTGTCACATTGTAACCGGTAATTATTAAGCACTCGGCGTATTTTAAATCACATACCGTGTGACTAATTCTCTCCGCTGCCTACTGTATAAATGCTGACAGTTTGCGTTAACATGGTGCTGTGTTCTATTTCGAATATATGGCAATCAGCTGGTGAAACGAGTACAGTATGTATGGTACCACACTGCTGCGGGTCACTGACAGCTGGCTCACATTCATGCCGGATTGTTTCGGGAAGTCCTAAAAGCTAGCAGGGACTTGTAGTTAACGTCTAATGTAGTTTCCAGTTCTAATTGAAATAGATAAAACGCTGCGACCAGACAGAGTCAATGTTTTTAGACTCATAATTTAGAATCGGCCCAGATCCTGGAAATCGTCCTACTCAAACAAAAATAGCTGTTTCTAACGCGATTGACTACAAAATAATTACATTTGGACGAAAAAGGATTGCAATGTTCACAATTGATGGAGGTGGGGTTGACTTCGTAATCAGTATTCGTGCATCAGAGTCGAGCTAACCTCTGTGTCGGAAAGAAATATTGCTGCTGCATAATAATTTTGGATGGTACTTTATGAAACAGTATAGTTGCACTGTTCGCTCTTTTGAAATTATGAAGTTGGAAGTTTTACATTGAATCCCTCACTCTCGGCCGGATGGCAGCGTCCGCTTGGAGGGGGCGGATAAAGGAGGAGCTGGACTTCCTTAAAAGGCTTTCCTTTGACAGCCATAGGAAACCTCGAGTGCAGCCGTTTCAAACACGAGCTTCAATTTCACAACATCTTAAACTATAAACAAATCACAAGATCATTTTTACTTTCTTGATGGAGGCACTCAGCATGGAAGATGAAAATAAACAGATGCAGGAAACCTACGGAGAGGTAAGAGGAGCATTTTTTTTCAACACATTCCCTTCAATTGCAGCTGATAAGATCAACACAGTGCAACATTAAACCATGGGATTGAATTGAAATAAAAGTTTACGGAGAAAAACTTAGTATGTTAGCTTAGAATTGAATACTTTCGCGACTGTTAGTCTACCCTTCAGAGACAAGTAAAATGCAAAGCAGTGAGTAAAATATGACAGAATGCAGTTGTTTCTTGAACAATAAAATTGAAATGTTCCCAATGTTCGTTTAACTGTCTTTTTAGAAAGTGTAGTTCCTTGGTTAAAACGTGCAAACAAGTGTATAGAAATTGAATTTACTGTAATTAATTATTCAGTTACTGAGGCATTTTGCGCATCGCTCTTTATAGATGGTCGATGTCGAAGATAAAAGAGCATTGGTTTGCGACGACAGCACAACAGAAGGGGAGAAAAGCAACCTTTCATCAGCCAGCTTCAATGTAATAAACTCTATCATAGGCTCCGGGATCATTGGTAAACACGCGTGTTATTTATTTTAGTTCCACATTTATTAAAATCCATTCATGCAAATAGTTGACAACTCCCTACTGAATGTCGCTTTGCCAGGAGTCAGTCATCGGCACTAGGAGTTTAATGCTCAGCAAACAATGCCTCGGAAATTCCAAAATCAATAATTTATACCTTTTGTCTTTATTTTAAGTCCAAAGTGAGCTTTGAGGTTTCAGCGGATTAATGCGAAGGGATGAGATGGGAAATCATGTGATCATCTAAGCAACATGAAGGAGCATTGAGTGAGACAGTAATTTTGCCCTCGGTAAACAATAAAGTTATGACATAGAATAGGATTGCCGATTTATTGCAGAAACGATTTGTTAGCTAAAGTTAAAAAAAAATCAGGAGAATAGTAATCACTCTACGTAGTAAGAATACTGATGTATGGCAGTATTAGCTAAATGATAGAATTTCAAAATCCAAAGAGCTTAGATACTGGGTTGTGAATGATGCACACTGCTCTTGACCCACCTTGTATATTTAAAATTGCAGTTCCAGTTCGACTAGTAAGTTCATTTTCAAACAATGTTTTCTAAAACTTTTATTTCTGTGTTAATGTTTTTAACAAAAGCAGCTGAAAATCGCTGGCTTTAGTATTGGAGGCAGAGATTTAGAAAAGAAAGGAGACGATGTTAGATCACTGTAAAATTCTGGCTAGGCCTCAACTGGAGAAATGTATTCCATTTCGGGCACCATACCTTAGAACAGAAGAACCAAAGGTGCAAGGAGGAAGCTATTTTACTAACACAGCAAGTCATTGTGATTTGGAGTGAAGTGCTGGAAGGAGCAATGCAAACAAATCAGTCTTAAAATTTAAGAGAAAACTGGATAAATATTTGAAAGCAAACAGGCTTACAGAAAGTAGTGGAGTGGGTAGTTTGTTGGATAATTCTAATAAAGCACAGTTACAGGAAAGATGGATAATATGTATGCATTACCAGTTTATCATATCACAGATTATGCCTGTTAGAAATGTTTTAAAATCTATCCAAATCTTTGATTTTTCCCTGTTGCCATGCAATTCTTATTTTATCAAGTACATGTCCAATTTCCTTTAGAAATTTATTTCAGAATTAGTAAGTATCAAAATGAATACTGGTTCTTATAGCAATGCTTGGGGCAAGCCATTATATACGTACATCCATTTTAGGTGGAAGACTAAATAAATGATCAATTCAATAGGTTCTGTTAATCTTCCAATGTTTTTTATTGTTCAGATTACTGTTGAGAGAATGTTTCACCAATTCATAGGGATCAAAACTCTGGGGTATGTGGGAATTTTGATTTGAGGACAAATTCAGGTCAGCATCATCAAATCTGGTAAAAGAGCTCTCAGAATATCATTTGGTGGGAAGTTCCAGGATTTTAACTCAACAACAGGAGGGAATGCTGATGTATAGCCAAGTCAAGATGGTGAATGATGCCGAGGTAATGGTCTTCACATGTACCTGCTACTTTTGTTCTTCTAGTGAAGTTTGTGATTTCATCTCAAAGAAGCTTCGATGACTGGCTATAGTGCATTCTATAGGCAGGGCATGTTGTAACTGTGATGCACTCAATTAGGGGGGAAAATTATTTGAACTCCTGCATGGGATGTCAATTAGACAGACTGTTTTCATCTGTATGGCGTCAAGTTGCTTGAGTACTTTTGCAACTACAGTTATCTAAGCAAGTAACAATAACACTTACAAGTCTGGATTTTATGCTTACCTGCCAGTAGATTTGAATGCTGTGGCCACTAATCCTGATTGGTGCTGTTAGACCTTTTTTTCTTAAATTCTTCATGGAATATGGACCATTGGTAGCTCGGCCAACATTTATTTCCAATCCCTAATCACCAAATGAGATGGTGGTTAGCTGCTTTTTTGAGCATTTGCTGTCAGGTGCTTTAGCGACACTCACAATGCTGTTAGAGAAGGAGTTCCAGGATTTTGATCCACCTGATTGGCTGGCAGCATTCTAAGGTGGAACTCTTTTCCTAGAAAAGAGTAGACAAATTCTGTTAAGTCAATTTTTTGCTCCATCTTTAAATGCTCAGGATTATAGGCAGGTTCCCCAAACTCCAGAGAGTTTTAGCCAGGATGTTGTGGACTACGATACCCTGTAAAATTTAGTTTACAATTTGTATATTGTAGGCAGTAGGGAAGCTTTACAATGGCAGGACGCAATTACAAAATAATGCATTTTGATTTGCTCTAGTAGTAATGTTATATAAACTGGATGCTCCTATTGAATTTCATTGATACTCAAAATGTTGATGGAGGCAATTCAATTGTGGTAATGCCGTTGAATATCAAGCATGGTTGTAAGGCTCTGTCTCTTTTTGGAGATGAGTTGTGTGGCATAAATCTTTCAGCCTGAGTCTGCATAGGTCAGGTTTTGTTTTGTGTGCGTATGGACTGCTTCAATACATGAAGCATTTTGAATGGAAATCATCAATAAATAGCATAATTCCTGTCCCATATTGGAGAGATGATCATTGATGAAATAGAAGATAATTGTTGTTCTTAAGCTGCTGACTTGTGGAAATCCTGCAGTGTGTCTTGGATCAAGGATATTTGGTATCCAGCAACAATAGTTATCTTCCTTTTGTACCAGGTACAAGTCTAGTGAGTGGCATGTTTTGCCTTGACTCCTAATTAGTTTACAATAGCTACTGGTGTCACATTCGTTTAAGTGTAGGTTTGATGTTAATGGCAATCCTGCACATTTTTCTTCTGGTATTTAGCTCTTGTGTTAACATTTGGACCAAAGCACAACAAGTTCTAGTGTTGCATGATTTTTGTGGAACCAAAACTGTACATTAATGACTAGGTTATTGTTTAAAAAAATAAAGTCGCCATAGTCCCAGAGGACCATAGTGCTGCTCTCCCATTGGAGAGATTATTGGTAAATGCTACTTAATAGCATTGTTGATGACTCTCTTCCCACTATATAGTTGGGAATAAATGAGCTGATGATACAGTAAATGGTCAAGTTGGATGCGATCTGCTGTTTGTGACCAGAACTTACCTGGTCAATTTTCAACATGGGTAGATGCCAGGGAAAGTGACTGAGACCAAAAAAATTAACTTAATTATTCAAGTTGAACATGAATGACTGATTCGGTTTTGTCTTTAGATTAATATGTTAAGTTACACCATCATTGAGGATGTGGATATTCACAAAGCGTTCTTCTTCTGTGACTAACTTAATTGTCCATCTCTCTTCACCATTGAATATGACAAACCTGCAGAGCTTTGTTTGGATCTCTTACCCATAGCATTGTAGAGTTTAGCCTTTAGCATGTTGTTTCCCAGATTATAAATTATACTTGAGCTCTTTCTTTTAATACTTCTTATTCAGTTAAAATCAAATTATTCATAAAATTTGCATGTTTGAAGTTGGATATGGTCAGCAAAGATTATTTTCTGCTCTGTGAACAAAAAGACAATAGAATCAAACAGGTCATAAAAGCTAATAGAAAATGATAGCAGATTTCAGTTTAAAAAAAACATTTGTGCTGTAAGCCACCTAACTGACTGACACATATTCATGCATATTAGGTATTTGTCATTAAGTACTGAATTGTCAATTCACCACGTACTTAAGCATAATGCATATGAGTGGGTTATCATTTGTTGCCAATCCTAATCAACACACGACTAATATTGTACATTCCAGCTAGCTTTTTTCATCCCTACAATTGTGTGAAGCCCTTTTATCTTTGGAAATTTCCCTTTCTTCTGCATACATATTGGTTAAGTAATCTGTGAAGGTTTACTACACATTATGCACTTTCATGAACTTGTCTCAAAACATAAGCACATTCTGAATTGAGACAGGATATCACGATCTCCAATGCACTTATAATGTTATCAAGACATGTAATTTGTGATACTTTCCTGTTCCCAATTTCACCCAGCTGGGTGTTCTGCTAGTTCTGAGGAAGGGTCACCAGAGCCGAAACTTTAACTCTGATTTTTTTTACAAGTGCTGCCAGACCTGCTGAACTTTTCCAGCAACTTCTGCTTTTGTTCATCCATCCCTTTATTCTTCTTAATGTTGACCAGTGGTGTTCCACAGGGATCTCTTCTGGGACCTCTGCTTTTTGTGATCTTTATAAATGACTTGGATGAGGAAGCGGAAGGGTGGGTTAGTAAGTTTTCTGATGACACGAAGGTTGGTGGAGTTGTGGACAGCATGGAGGACTGTTGTAGATTGCAGTGGGACATTGACAGGATGCAGAGCTGGGCAAAGAAGTGGCGGATGGAATTCAAATGAGAAAAGTGTGAAGTGATTCATATTGGAAGGTCAAATTTTAAATGCAGAATAAAGGGTTAACATCAGGATTCTTGGCAGTGTGGAGGAACAGAGGGATCTTGGGGTCCACGTCCATAGATCCCTCAAAGTTGCTACCTAAGTTGATAGGGTTGTAAAGAAGGTGTGTTGGCTTTCATTGGCAGGGGAATTGGGTTTAAGAGTTGCGAGGTTATGCTGCAGTTCTATAAAACCCTGGTTATACCACACTTGGAATATTGTGTTCAGTTCTGATCACCTCATTATAGGAAAGATGCGGGAGCTTTAGAGAGGGTGCAGAGGTGATTTACCAGGATGCTGCTTGGGCTGGAGGGCAGGTCTTATGAGGAAAGGTTGAGGGAGCTAGGGCTTTTTTCATTGGAGCAAAGAAGGATGAGACGTGACTTGATACAGGTTTACAAGATGATGAGAGACATAAATAGAGTTGATAACCAGAGACTATTTCCCAGGGCGGAAATGACTATTATGAGGGGGCATAATTTAAGGTGATTGGAGGAAAGTAGAGGGGAAATGTCAGAGGTAGGTTCTTCACACAGAGAGTGATGGGTGTGTGGAATGCGCTGCCGGCAGTGGTAGTGGAGTCAGATACTTTAGAGACTTTTAAGCAACTCTTGGATAGGCACATGAAGGATAGTAAAATGTAGGGTATGCAGGGTAGTTTG